CGTACAATAGTATGCTAAAATTGGATTACCTTCTTTTTATACACCCTGTGTAAGTGTACGTTTATTTGCATACCAATGACAGCCTTGCATTAAACGAGAATTTTAGGTTAAATTTATTATTAATGAAATAAAAATCCTAAATGTAAAGGCAGTTTTCCACTAGGCGGAATTTTTCGCGCGGAGCGGAATTTTTGTTTGTCGATCTTTTCTAATTAGTTCCACCCGAGAAATTACAGGACAAAGAACAATTCTGCTCCGCGCGGAAAATTTCGCCTGGTGGAAAACGACCTTTAGTGAAGACCCGCCAAACCAAAATATTTCGGAGAATACGGAAGGGCAAATAACAAATTTAAAAATTGATGATTTTATTAATTGCGGTTTGAAAAGACAAAATTGCTCAAACTGTTAATTAAACACAAAACGATAGACGCGCCGTAAATTCATAACATTTTAATTTTCTACGTTTTGACCAGTTGTATTACACATCCGTCTTCAGAAGAATGCCGTATTTCATAACGTTTGCCAGCGTCATCTAATTTATGTTGTGACTTGTGAAGCCCAATGGCTATAGTCGTGTTAAATATTTGACTAAAATATTCAAATTGTTACTGATAAAACTGTGCCTGCCTTGTTAAATATATGTCTATATAATGAAATTCTGTAGTTCTCAGGCACAGTTTTATTAAAAAACATTTTGAATATTCTAGTCAAATATTTGATACACCTAACCATTGGGCTGCCAATTTCAATTTTAATCCAAAGCTGAAACCATGGTGCGCGTTCTTGATTTGTGTTTAATTAAATTATTTTATATATGGCAACAGTGATTTTTGGTCACACATCAAGTCATACTATTTCAATTGTAACTTTACTTCTAGTTTATATCCCGATATGTCGTACGAGTTTTTAACTTAACTCGATTGTTGTCTATTCCAGTAATGATGAGGTCGATACATGACCAAATACAATACATGTCCATGTATAGTGCACGCAATTTATTCACCGCTTCGTGTACATAAAAATGATTTAAATGACTCAATCATGTAACTGACATGAATCCCGGAGTGATGCGAGGGGGTTTACAGGGGGTTACAACCCGGTCAACCTCCTGTCGGGGAACCTAGCCCTTAGTATTTTTCATTAGCGTCATTCTTGATGATGACTGAATCCTAGGCGGAACATAGCCCCCTGTAAGGGAAGCATTTTGTCGGGGAAGAAGTTATGTTTTGTAATGTATCGATCAATTCGAAACATCATCATGCCCCTCCCCGGGGCATACCTCCGGAATTTGAAGTTTTAAAAATTTGGTTGTCCAAATTCTTGCCCTCTGGCAATAAATTTGTTGAAATACCCCATTAAAACAGAGAAATTAACGAGCAAACCCCGACTCCTCAACATCACACATGAACTATAACAGCTCACTACCACAAAGAAGATTTAGAACGTCGAATTCCCTACTCCGAGGAGACACTGTGAAGTCAAATGCCCCCGGGGGCGATGATGATGTTTTAAATTAATCGACATAACCAACAATATAAAATAATTACAAGCTATATAGCTAACTGTGTCGTCTAACCTTAGGGTTATAATTACAGTTGGCTAACACCATATTTTTGTAACATGTATTGAGCCTATTGCATGACTACAGTAATATCATCAACTTGAAATGATGTGCTAGTGCTAAATATATATAATGATTGATTGATTGATCATATGTTTTGTAGTGCTAGTAAAAACACTGTTAATATTGTGCTGCAAAGTGTCCTCAAAATGCACAAAATACAGTTTCAGAGACTCAACGATTTAAACATTTTCTCTGGAGAACATGCCAACGAATCCCCCTACAATCTTGTACAAAATCCTATAGACCATTCCCGGTGTCTCAAAAGGGGGGCGATATTCCTAGGATATTCGCCCTCCCGGGAATATCTCCTAGGAATATCGCCCCCCTTTAGGAATTTCGCCCCCCCCCCATATTAATTTTGAATTTTTGATCTAAAAACAAAACGATTGCAAGTTGAAAAGATTCATTGCGTGATTTATTTATTACAAAATGCTTTAAAATTAAGCTTTAAAATTACATTGCGAAATGTCGTACGAGTTAAATATTTGCACGATATTAACTCATGGGGCACTTCTGACCAATGGGAATTTTGCGTACGCTCCGTACGCATAAATCGACTTTTTACTAATAAAGGTCGCAGGCCGTTCCTCGTGCAGCCTCTGCCTGACAACGGCCTGCGAGCAGGCTAACTCGCAGGTCGCGAGGATGAAGTCTGATCTATATAAATCGTATTTAAACTGTACTAACTGTAGGGAGCCACCTTAAGACGGATTTCCAGTCCTCGCACGAAGCCCCTCGCAGCACGCTGCGAGTGACGCATGAGCACTTTCATCCAAACACAATGCTAAACAGTTCATTTTCATTAGATGCAAGCACTCGCGGCGAGCTGCGAGGAGCTTCGTGCGAGGACTGGAAAACGCCTTTATGCAGTGGCGAAGTTGCCATAGCAACAGATCATACTGTCGACAAATTTTTAATGATTTGTATTATTCAAACCTTTAGAAATATCCATGATTTTTTATTTATCATGATTATTATTAGATAACATTGATATCGAAGGAACTAGATTCTGTTCCGAAATAGCACATACTCAAACCGACCAGACTGCGTAGCTCAGTTAGCAGAGCATTGGGCTAGTATTCCAAAGGTCGTAGGTTCGATTCCCACCGTGGTCAGGCATATTTTTCAAGCTTGCCCGGTGTGGACATACACTCAGAGTAACATCACAAACATCTTTAGAAATGTATTGTCTTTGGACAATTTAGATGCAGGTTTATTAGCATAGAATGACCAGTTGCCATGGTTAGCTCGCCACGGTTTTTATTGCCTGTAAGACGTTTTAGCCCCCTGTCGGGGACACCACTGCTTGAATTACCTACAAAAATAAACAACATACTGCAAGGTTATATATACTGCAAGATACACTAAGGTCATATGCGTTCTTACAGGATCGGAGTTCATATAACACAATCAGCTCCTACGTTTTAAGATAAGTTTATATTAAAGCCCGGATCAAACGACCGAGGCCAAGAGTGCATGAGAATTGAAAGTCACATGATCTTGATTAGCTGTTCTGCAGGCTGCTCCATTTACTGGTCTAGAACATTTGGAACACTGTTCTCAAACAATATAAAATGGAGTGCACACGGTGTCCTGGAACAGTGTTTATATAATAACTACAGTGAAACACGCAATTTGATTGGTCAACAGCCGTGCAGGATCAGACAATCCTGCACAGGAAATTCTGAACAGAAATTCTTGCACATAATTTTATACATATACTCGGATTGTAAAGTTTCATTGTACGATACCTTTCGACTTTGAAGTAAGTTTGCAATTATTGAGACGTTGGTTTAGTTGGCGTAGCGTTAAAATTCATCAGACCATGGCAAGTCAGTGAAGTACATCTCTCGCTAGTCGCTTCAAAGTTCAAACGCTTCGCAATCTTCAAGTATTCAGGTCGAGAATCTTCAAAACTACTTTGGCTCTCTGTTTAGCGGGTTTTCCATTTCAATTTTCGTAAATTTTCGCTGTATATTTTCGCGAATTTGCGATCAAATTCTGTTCACATTTGTTGTTGTTTGCATTAGCGTGGAGTAGCGATTCTCCGATTGGCTAATTCACGATTGTTGTGAGAACTGCACATTTCATCAGTAATTTTAATCAAGTTAACCGTCGTTTCACTGTAGTAATTTTATAAAACAATTACCAAGTGGTTTCCCGTGCAGGATAGCATGATCCATGCACTTAGGATGTTGCTCGACTTTCGGAATGCGTAAAAATACACTCGCCTACGGCTCATGTATTTTCACGCTTTCCGAACGTCTCGCACCATCCCGCGTGCATGGATCACGCAATCCAGCACGGAAAACATTCGGTATTCCTTTATTAGTTTATTATATATGCGTGCAACCATGCATTACTGTATTAATTAGTTATTCGCATAATAAATCGTATAATGGTTAGCTGTTATTTGTATATCTAAACATGCTTTTGCAACATTTTTACTCGTTGATTTTGCCCAACTCTGGCGTTCAAATAGCATATAATAAGTATATGTCGAAAGATAGCGGTTAACCCTTCAAAATAACGCTCTATGCAGTGTGCATTGGATACACAAAATATGTCGCTTCCATTTCCAATCACGTAAAAAAAGGCAGTGTCACGTGCCTGTTCTGGCTGCCCCTATACACACATAAAAACGCACAAGTTGTTACAGGTCTGCAAACAAGTTGTTCCAACTCTGTTCACAAGCTGTCAACGAGTTGTTTTCGGACTGCTTATTCCCAGTTGCTGTAACAAGTTTGGCACAAGCTTGATGGCATTATCAGACTTAATTATTTTTGTTTGTGGAAACACCACATAAATTTATTACTGCAAAATTAAACAAATAAATAAAATTGCAGTAATAATTAAATAAATAAATATAATAAATTTACGTGGTGCTTCCACAAACAAAAACAATTATATTTTATCGCCATGCAAACATTCAAAGAACTTATTATCAGACTTGTTACAAGGTTGTTCTGACAAGTCTGACACAGTCATGATATAACAAGAATGTTACAAGGTTGACGACACAAGGTTGTAACAATATTGTTATATCATGATTGCATCGGACTTGTTGGAACATGCAACCTTGGAACAAGTCTGACAACATCAACAAGGTTGTTACAAGTTGTTAACGGCTTGTTCCAAACTTGTTAACAACTTGGGACATGCAGTGCGAATACAACTTGTTGACGATTTGTTCGCAGACTTGCTACAAGATGCATGTGCGATTTTGGCGCGTATACTCGAAAATCGGGGTAGTTAGAACAGTTCAGAACAATCATGCGACTCTCTTCAGTTCCATTCCATTATTGTTCCCAAAATCCGAAGTACTCCGAACAGTATATGGAGCAGCTTGCTTAATGCTTTCCCAACACTATCATGTATTTTATTTAACTTAAAACTTATTTGCAGCACTCATCAAACCAATTATTTTGTTAATCCAGAGCTTGAAAAGTCGATCCCTTGAAACAACTCCGCATTCACAAGCTAAAAACTCGTGTGACTACCAACTCTCATCAACTATTATCAACTCTCATCAACTCTCATCAACTCTCATCAACTCACATCCTCGTTTGATCAGGGCTTGAAAGTGATATTGAACTTACACTTACATAACTTCACACACGTTTACATCATATGAAGTAAAAACTTTAAAACATAAATAATTATTCAAAAGGTACTGTTTCACTATTTTAACCGACTATGAGGGCAGCATCAAGGTCCTTGGCTTCATCACTAGAGCTGTTAAGAGGGTCTACGTATTCGTCGTTGTTACTTGAGGCAGGGTTTGGAGACACAGGATTGTGCTTGTTTTGCTGCGGGTGGTTTGAGGAAGGATCAAGACTAAACGCAATTCCTTGCGGTTGTATAGGATCACAATTAAAGTCAGTAAACTGAATATTAGGTTGTGCATTCAATATTGCTGTTCCTCTACTTTGGATGTTTTGCAAAGATTCTTTGTCGTCTTGCGTTGTGTTGCTTGCTCGTTTTCGTTTATAACCCGGCCAAAATAAGGCCATTGGTGCGCCAATAGCAATAAGTAATGCAGCGATGACTATATACATAACAGCAATGTGCCGTCGTGGAGATGAAGCTTTGTAGTTTTGTTCGGTTTCTCGCCATTCGCAACCATCTTTAGCACATTTCCCAGCGTTACAGCATTCATTAGCAGGACCACAGTCATCATCTGAGATACAATCCTCACCAACGCAAGTTTCATTGCAACGATCTTGCCAAAATGACCATACACTTTTGTTCTTACAACAATACTTTCCCGAATCACATTCAGAATTTGATATACACTGTTTGAAACACTCCTGTGACTGTGTGTTAACACACTTTCCATCACGACAGCATTCGATTCCCACAGCGCAGTCATCGTTGTCGTTACACTGTTGCCCAACACAATCCTTAGCACAGAAAGCTTCATTGAAGGGAAAACTCTTCTTACAACATACATGACCAGAGTTACAGTCCGAGTCCGAAGCACAGCCAGAACAACCACGATCAACACATATATTTGAGTGGCAACATAACGTCGGATCACCACAATGGCTTTTAGTTTTACAATATTTATCTAGACAATAAGAAAAGCCGCACATTCGCGTCGTACGGTCAATGCTATTTGAATCACCACCGCAGCAATACTTGTAAGCCCAGTTAACTTTACAATCTGCATGAGTCTTGCATGCACCAGCAGTTTGAACCTTGGTTTGAACACGACTAAATGTGTTGCAAACAAAAACACAAAAGGCGATCAAGAAAATAGTCCTTACCATCGTGAACGATTAGTTCTTCACCAAGGAGGGAATGACGCGATGTAAATAGTTTGGAATGAAAGACAACTGTTACGGAACGCCGCACAAGTGCTATGCATGTAAATTTTTAAATTATTCAAAACTTGGGTGAAATGTATTGTCTTTAGACTAGCAACTAGCATGACATGATGACCAGTTGCCATGCATGGCTAACATCGCCAAAGACTTGCACTAAACGAAAATTCCTGGTTAAATTTATTATTCATGTCTCCTAAATGTAAGTGAAAAGCCCGCCAAACATTTGGAGAACATGGAAGGGATAATGAATTCTTGTAAGGTAAGTATTAACTATATGAGATAAGGTAAAGTAAACGTCTACATTATTTGGGAGCCACCACTTTAAGAAAGATCAGTATTTTAATTACGGTTTTCATAGAGATGTCGCATTCATACAGAGAAGCCCTTTATTTGAAAAGAGCATATTGCTCAAAAGTCAAACATTAATTAAACACGAAACGATCGATAGACACGTCGTAAATTGATAACGTTTTAATTCTCTACGTTTTCACGGACTATTCGTATTACAGAGCTCCGTGCTTGCGAGTGACAAAAGATGTTGCCAGCCTTGTTGCTATTATTAGGGACCTTAAGCAAACAGGACGGCAACGCGACGACAACGGCTATTCGCACAATGATATTCCTGATCTCGTACAAAAGAAATGAATAACTAAAAGCCCCACGGGAGTTAGAGACGTTGTGTTAGGGCTTTTTACAACGGCAAACCAGAGATTTTCACGTCTCGTGTACAACGCAAACATGTCAAGATGCGACAAGTGAAACTGCAAATTTTCACAGCAGAAGCGTTTTTAACAATAAAGCTTTTGTTTTAATCTCTTTAAACTGAATTCAATTCATATGCAGTGGATAATACATAACAACCCTTCCTCGCAATAATTTATTTGAAGTTTGTTTTGGTTGCATGTCGTCGTCGCGTACATGCTTAAGGTCCCTAATACTAGACAGCCCAACGGCTAGGCGTGTCAAATATTGGCTAGTTCCTCGGGTGGAGGAGGACTGATCACGTGATCGGCTAGTTGTGTTGTTTGTGGCGTCAGATATAACCCAATCCCTATCTCTAAGCCTAATCCTTAATCTAACCCTTACCCTAACCTTAACCCTAACCTCAACACTAATCACTATAACTAACTGATGGCGTAATGTGTGATGCAAATTCTTCTACCCGAGGAAGTACAACAAATAGTTGACTAAAACATTCAAATTTTTAATAAAGCTATGCCTGACTTCTGCAGTTCTACTCAGGCACCGTTTTATTAAAAATTGAAATATTTTCGTCAAATATTTGATACGCTCAGCCATTTGGGCTGCATGTTTCACAGTCATTGCGTTTTGATCCAAAGTTCCCATGAACCATGATGTGCTAGCGTTCAAAGAATTGACAGTAATGACGTTGTAAATTAATAGATGCAACGCAGTATGACTCGTGAAAAAATGATGTAGCTGGTGAAAAAATTAATTGGAACAACCCGTGAATAAAGGGCGCGAGTGAACGTTTCGTAGGTTTATTTACGGTTTTCCTTTATCGTCGGTTTTTCTCATGATAGCCTACAGAGATAAGTGGCCGGGTGGTTAAGATATTGAAAAGTTTCTGCCCGCTAAAACCTCCTTAGACAGTTTCTGGACGGTATAATAGAATTGAGCGGGCGTTCCAGGATAAATTTAGTCAAGCGAAAAGGACAAATTATAGCTTGAAGTTCCTAATGGGGTCAGATTTAAGTCCCGTATGTAAATCCCGGATATAAAAATGATACGCCTATTGCCGGCTACGCTGAAATCTCTTTAATATATTTCTCTCTAATAAATTATACATTTTTAATCGGGGGTTACATAGGGATAGTTTTTTCACAGCCAATTGGCGTGGGACTTGCAATCACTGGCCATTAGTATTAGCATTCAAACTTCTTTTTTTCCTCGATTTTTCACTCAGTACCCATTTTTGCGTCTAAGGAAGCATTGCATCTAGTCAAGAATAACACTGATAACGAGCTTCAGTTTGGCAAGGCATGAGAAAGTCCGCCAGCATGGCAGCATGCTGCCAGGACATTTTTTTAATCTCACAGGAAATTTTTAAGGAAAACAAGATATCAAGAATGAAGCTCGACAAATTTCAAAAATCAGCATTAAAGTAACAAACATCACAATTAGAGTACAAATACAACAATCATGATCACAACATAAAAATTTGTATCATGTGGCAGTGCTACGACTGTCTGTTAATTTGAATTACAACCAAAATTCACATTTATAAAAAAAATTGGCAGGAAATTTTTGGTCTGGGAAGCCTGCTGTCAGGAAGAAAAATATTTTATCAAGGCTTGCAGTTTGGTCTCTTTATCTAGAAACTACATCTGTAAAATATATATTCTCCCGCTGCCAGCCTCTCGTCTCCTTCTCTATCAGACAAACGGATACGCCCTAGCAAGGGTGGGTAGTAGCGAAGTAGTTGTAGTTCGCTACTGTAGCGAACTACAGTTTTCAAGTAGCCAGTAGTTTTTGACTACTTTTTTAAAACAGTAGCTGTAGTTATAGCGAACAATATTTTGCCTAAAAGTAGCCAAGTAGTTGACTACTTTTCAAACAGCGAATCGCTATTCGCTACTTTTCGGATTTGTTAGCAACTTGATAGAGTAGAATGATATTGAGACACAGTTTGCTTAAAATCAATACTCCATAGTCAATTGCACTCTTGAACACTGTAGTGCTTACAAAAATGTTGCTTTGTGTTTACTGTTGCTATACTCGTAAGTCGATTTGTTATAGGTTACATTTCAGCCTGAGTTAGTAGATGCTCCAAATACAGTAACATGCAATTTTTAATAAATATAGATTGTTTGGGTACTTATAATGTAGAATAAACAGAAACGAATTCGTAGAGATAAATTTCCCAGAGCAGGGGGGTGTCCGTTCTTAGTAAATATTATAAAGTAAAATAACAATATGCTAATTAGGTAAATGTATGCCATGAATTAACAGACAGCATGAGCTCTAGCCTGCGTGGCAGGCGGTATTTCTACAGGCAGCGAAAATTAGGGAGGCAAAGGAAATACCGTCTGCCGCAAAACTAGGGGTTTTTAAATTACCCGTCCGCTGGTGAACGGAAAAAACGGATTGGTTAGTATTTTTATGTAGTTGTCAATCAACGGCTAAATTCGGTTAAATGTTAATCATTAACCAAATGTTTTGATGTTTTGAAACTCTGCGTTTTGCCGTTTTGAAATTAGTTCACAGTCACAAGTCAGACCATGCAGAAATGGAATACTGTAATAAAAGAAGCAAATTTAAAGATACAAGCTGAAAAATAACACTCCAAATAGTGTTTTTGATAGCGATTCGAACAAGAATATTTAACAAAGAAGATACGTCCGAAGGGGCCGAAGTTATGATCGGCGAATTATATTAAGGTATGGGCTAGTCTATATTTTCTTTCAGACAAATACACGCGTATATTAATTTGATAATATACGATCTCGCTTGACTTTCAAAGGCCATAAATCGCAATAATATTGACATTTTACTAAAACTATCGATCAGGGACCGCGGAGACGGGGGGGCTGGGGGGGCTTTAGCCCCCCCACTTTTTTTGACAGCCAAAATTATTAAAATAGAAATCTAAATGAAACTTTCTAAATTAATTAATTGGGGGTTTTATTGATGATTTAGCCCCCCACTCTCTAATACGCTCCGCGGGCCCTGTCGATAGAAATTAGGATATATATTTCTTCACTGAATCGAACGGTGGGATTTTCATATACTGAGGCCTATCATGTTCTGAACCAAAGATACTTGATAGATATACGAACCTACAAAGATCTCCAAAGTATAAACTAGATATATGGGCCGGTTGATGCAGTAATTAAGGGGCGGACCATTAGAAATCCCGGGAGGGGGGGTATAAAATTTTTGCGGCACGAATTTTTTTTTCAGTCTCATGTATTTTTTTTCCAGGCATTTTCCTTTGCACGAATTTTTTTTTTGAATTTTCACCCCCCCCCTCCCGGGATTTCTAATGGTCTGCCCCTAAATAACAGTTAAACTCTTAATATATACCCGTTGAATATGTATAGTTGTAAACAAATAAAAACTATCGTTCTATAAGGTTCAAAACTTTCAGTTTGGTTGTTGACTGATGATGAATCTATAGTATAGACTTGCATGCTTTGTATTTTGAGCTTATTAACTACCATTTTAAGGCAGCTAAACGGGCGGCTTGGTTTATATTAAAGGCTGCACATAAAATAAATTCCTTGATTCTCATCACTAGACACAGTCTACACTTTGAAATGTCGAAGACAGTGGGAGATTTATTTTTTATATTTTATATTTATATCATTTATATATCAATAGTTCGTATCTCCACGAACAATGACAGAATGACTGAGTTTCTTTAAAATACAATGAAATTTCATTCAAAATTCTGTTTGTTTGAAATTGGAAGTTTAAATTGGCACTAAAAACCCTATATAAAATATAAAAAAATTAACTGTCTTGAATTATTTTGTCGGGCGGTACGTTTATATTGTATAACGAAATATAAAACATTTTCACGAGGATTTTAAAATTCAGTCGGGCGGTGATGATAATCAAGGAATTTAATATTATATTTTATGTTGAGACTTGGTAGCAACTTGGGAGTGGCTAATTTTGAATATTTACTTAATGACATCTATAAATAGCTTTGATGCTTCAGGGGCGGTAGTTCATTTACACCCAGTTTTGCGGCAGGCGGTATTTCCTAAGTACCGCCTGCCATGCAGGCTACATGAGCTCCACCTTCGAATTTACTATATGAGTAAATTGTTAAACGTGTCCGAATTTATCAACTATGATATAAAGTTCGTGGCACCTAACCCCTAACCCTTAAACCTAATCTAACCCAAATCTAACTTTGAGTAAATTTTCTGATATATAATTTGAACCATTGATAAAACACATAACAAATAATCAAGTCAAATAATCACGAAAAAATAAAAAAAATAGCGAAAAAAATCACAAGTTTTTGGAGTGATTTGCCCCTCGCCCTGTTCCTGTATGAAAATATTTATTCACTAAAATGCATCAACGAATATTATTACTCAGTTATATTAATTACTTACAATAAACTACGGCCATATACTGCGGAATATAAATTCAGATCTAGACATATAGCATAAGCGTTGATATATGAGTTCATATAGGACAGTCAGCTCCTATGTATATAATATTCGCACGATATTAACAATGATATTGAGCATGCATAAATATAGTGTATACATTCTTTATAGATTATAAACCTACGAGAGGTTATTATCGTCTTGAAAGTTCATTCATCGAAGCCAGGAAAGAGTTCGAACAAAATTTCTTAATAAACGACATTTCTTTCTTGTCTTAATTACTCTTTCAACGTACTTAGTTGATAATAAACACTCACGAACGATATGTATTAAAACATTCTATTTAATAAAATTAACAATATTTACTAAAAAATGGCTCACAAAATATATTTCGTGTGCCATTTTTTAGTAAATATTTTTAATTTTAAATGGAATGTTTTAATACATAGAGTGTTTATTATCAACATAAGTACGTTGAAAGAGTAAAGACAAGAAAGAAATGTCGTTTATTAAGAAATTTCAAAGTAATTATCCACAAGGTATAATATGTAAATGTTTTAACTGATCAGCTATAAGTATACAAGCATTTTAAGAAAATCAATGGGTATCAAGGATGATTGCCAGGATACGGAGGTGGATTATCACGAGGATTGAAGGCATTTTGTGGATGGGGACCAGCTTGTCGTTGGGTAACTTGTCCAACATCAGGGTACTCGTAGGTTTCATCATGAGGACTGATCACGTATCCATCGTTGTCAAGTGTGTCGTGTCGTCCGCGATATCGATCTGTGCCAGAATGAGGAGAAAATGCAGTAGCTTGCTGTTGTGTAGGGTTGTTAAAGCCAGTAAACTGAGGGTTAGGTTTCAGATTTGTAATTACTGTTCCTTGATTCTGGGTGTTTTGCAGAGATCCTCTGTTGACCTGATTTGCGTTGCTTGGTCGTTTTCTTTTATAACACCAATACACGGAAATGGATACGCCAAGAGCGATAAATCCAGCGATGACTATAACAGCAATACGCCACGGTGGAGAAGATTCATCGCTGGAGTGATGGGATCCTTCAATTGAACAGTCCGAAAGGCACTTGCTAGCTTCTCCGTTTGGGTATTGGTTCTTGCAACAGTAAAAACCTGACGAACAGTCCGAGTTACTAGCACACTCTGGACGACAACCTTCTTTTGCACATTTTCCAGCAATACAGCATTCACTAGGTGGTCCGCAGTCATCATCTGAGCTACAATCCTCACGAAAGCAAGTTTCACGACAACGACCTTTCCAAAACACAAGAACAGGTTCCTTCTTGCAACAATACTTCCCCGAATCGCATTCCGAGTTCGCCTTACAGTTCACCGTACACGATGTGAAACCAACACACTTACCACCACGACAACATTCCCCACGCCCAGCGCAGTCGTCGTTGTTTTTACAATCCTGATCAATACATTTTTCAGCACAGACAGTTTGAGGTTTTGGAAAACTCTTCTTACAGCACACATGACCAGAACTACAGTCCGAGTCGAAAGCACAGCCAGAACAACCACGATCAACACATTTGTTGGAGAGGCAACATAACGTCGAATCACCACAGTGACTTTCGGTTACACAATACTTATTTTTGCAACCTGTTAGATGACAGGTTCGCCTCGTACGATTGAGCCAACTGCTGCCACAGCAAAACTTCCATAACACGTTCGCTTTACAGTCTTCGTGTGTTTTGCACGTATCGGCAGTTTGAACAAGACTAATCTCGTTCCAAGCCAAAACACAAAAAGCAATCCAAAAAAAAACGACGACGTTCCATCATGAGTGATTAAATACAAAGTTCTGCACCAAGACAGCTACCACGCAAATATATAGAGTTTGAAATACAGGAAGACGAATTTCACAACTTCCTTTAGTTGGTAATTGTTGCATAATTTCATAATTGACTTGTTTTGTTGAAAGCACTGCGTTTGGTAATTTCATAAAGCTTTCGATCCAAATTAAAAAAGCCATGGATCAATATATATACTGAACACTAATAATAATACATTGTCTGCACTTATGAAGATCCGAGCTTACGGTTTGAAAATTTTGCGCAGTGGAAAAACCACAAATAGTTTCACAGAATGGAGCCTAAAGGGTAAAATAAAATTAATTGGTGCATTGCATTGCAGCGTTTTCTTTTATATAGGTAATAGGTCTAATAGCTACATGCGAGTAAGTTTCAATCGAAAAATATGGAATGTTATAGCGTCAGTAATGACCACAAAATAAAAATGGACAGAATTTCTTGTTCTGTACGAGTTAGTGTAATTTACTGTACATTTAGGATATAAACTATATTCCGTGCTGGACGAAAAGTACGCATGACTGGAAAGCAGCCTTGGGCTATATTTAGATTTTTTAACTATTTTTGCCTAATTCTTGCATCACGGTAAGCAGTTCAATTCATTGGTCATATATTTATCCCAATTCTAAAATGCAAATGTTGATTTTCATACTGATATATGTTTTACAGGTCTTTTGACACGCGGTTTTCCTATGAGTATGGTTATGTGCTATTTTATTTGTTGCGTGGTTCGATAAAATTACAGTTACAATTACAATTATGCAATTGACTTAATTTCTTTTGTGGAAAAAATACCATTATAATTTTGCAAAGCTTTCGATCCGGAAGCCCGGATCAGTGCCTTTGCCCTTTGCCTCTGGTGATTGTACAATACGTATTTTATACTGTACCGTTCAGAGCGCCATCGTGTCAAAGTAACGTGATTACCGAATACCTTTATACCAGGCCATCTCACAAGGAACTATAATACAGTATACCATATTGATGCGTGTGTGCGTAGTGTAAATTTTTATATCGATTTATAGCAGACATCTCACCAAATTTTATCCGATCACCCGAACCCTAGAAATACCTGCGGAGGAGGCTGTTGAATGTTATTAGCGTGGGTTAAGTTATTCTCATATTTATCGATTTACGTCATCGTTTTCAAAGTGCGTCCAAACGTATCCAGATTCGTTGCATTTTCAAAAGTTTCCACTCTGGAATTCCAAATTTTACAGTTTCTGTGTCTATTTTCATCAGATACGTGTGGACGGAAGGCGCATTAGCGTATATCTGCAACAAAACGCACACCATACTTCTAAAAATCGATTTTGTTCCATAATTAGATCTAATTACAGCAAGAATATACAACTTAATCTCATTGTGCATTTTGGGACGTAGAAAACCACAAGCGGCCCAATCTCAGAATGAATGATCAGGTGTTGCGGGTTTTTAACGGTTTTTATAAACAAATTTTAAATAGTCAACCAAAACTATTCTAAAAACATTCTCAAATTGGTCAAATAAATGCATTTTAACAATAAAATATAGTTGACATGATAGTATAATTCCTTTGCATTCTTTTAATTAATCCATGAGCTCATTTAGAGCGGTTGATGTAACATTTTCTGTGGCCTACATTGTGTGTGCTCATCTATATATAATATAACAGTAAAAGGCTAATCACTGGCGCCACGACCGCATCGCCTTCAAAGTCAAATATCTCCGCTAAAACTTCTCGTACGCCAAAACAATTTCGATTACATCTTTTCACAAAGATTTCTCTTTCTAAATAATATGGTTTGATCGTGGCTTGGGCAAATTTAGCGACGAACGGAACCAAAATCTCCTCAATTTCGGATACTGTTCAAAATACTTACGGCTGCTCGGGCACAATCGTGGACGTGACGTAATCAATACATACTGACAATAACGCCTTACCCGGGGTGAGACAGCATATCAAATTCGACGATAGTTTGTCGCTTTATGCTGTCCCACCCCACGTAAGGCGGTAAGGCGTTGTTGTCAGTATGT